GGATTAGGCTGCTCTTTGTAATCACTTTAACAATAAAATAAAACTTTTAATAAAATGTCTAATATGTGTTTCTAGTTTTAACCTAAATACGCCAGCAAAGTGAGTGGCAAAAAGACTTTTGAATTTCTCTAAACTTACCTAATTAATCAGTTATTGTGAGAGTGATTCTCTAGGTAAGGAGTTAGTACCTTGGCTGATCTTCTAGGCATTTCATCCTGGTGTTGATTTTAAAGTGATGATAAATTATAATTTCTGTACAAATGTTATTAGGACTTTTCATTGTATTTTAAACTGCAGCCTCAATACAACGTTTATCATAACTCTAGTAAGGAGTATAAAAATATGACTGTAGTCCTAAGAACGTCTGTGTAGTATATTATTTAGACTATTATTTTATTTCATTATTTAAAATATTAAATAAATTATTAAATTGGCAATTTTGGGGTAAGTTTTAAAATTTTTCAACCCTTGTAACGCTAAGCGGTACTTTTTCCAGCACTAGCTCACAGCATAACTGGTAAATTCATTAAATATAAAATAAATTATAGAATCAAGAAAATGTATCATTTATCAAAAATAGCTGTGCATTAAAGTATAATGTTAATCGCCATTATGAAACTTGGTGACTAAAATTTGAAAAATTTACAATTATTATTTTTTTTTTTCAGTAAGATGTAAAACTATCATACCGTCTAGAATTCAAATACATAAAAAAAGATAAGACTTTTTTATCATTATTCTATTCCATATTTTTAATACTTAGCTAGCTTAGCTCTTATTCTTAACATTTTTCTACTAAACCTTTATGTGTAGTTGTTTCACAGATATTTTAAAAAATAATCTTACGTAAACAAAACTCAATTGACAATCAGCTACTTCAAATGCTTGTGATATTGTAAATAAGGACGTTCAAATTATTGTAAACCAACTTCGAGGAATCATAATGATTAAACATTCATAATATAAAAAGAGTTTGATTCAATTGTATTAGTATTCAATTGTATTTCAATTGTATTTAATTGTATTTACTTAACCTCTTTATAGTATAATGATACTCCTTCTCGTTCTTTTCGTAACAAAACCACTGATGTATTTGTCCTCGTTAACGTTGAAAATAATTATAGACATACTTGAAAAAATATAATCAATGCTACAACAATTTTGCATATTAAATATTTATGCTGATTTTCGTTTTGTATTTTTTGTTCCCTGTAGCACTTACTAATAATTTAAGTGACCTGCTCCTCACAAAGACACTTATTAATCTGTTCTTAAAAACAACATGATGCAATCTTAGGAAATATTAATCTTCCATAAGAATTGAAAAATAATTCAAACTACAAAAGTAATTCTGTTCTTATATTAAAGTATGACTCCAACGGCAATGCTGTCCAATGGTCTTTATTTATTTATTAAAGCAACGTTTCGGCCACTTTAGAATGAGGCCCTTTTCAAGCACTTTAAATTTCATACAAAACATGACAAAATTAATAAAAAGGTAAACAATTACACAATCGTTCGTAGTTTAAAACACTAAAACTTACAATTATATCACAGTATACAGGCTTTACGTGATCGCTTACATTTGTCGAGATCTTACTTAATTGACGGTAGCCTGTAAGCGACTCGAACATACTAACGAAAATTAATTTCTATACCGAGGACAGGTATCTATGAGGCAGGACCAATACCAATACATACATGTGCAAGAGTTGAAATGGTTAATGTATGTATTAGAGAAGGCGTAAACTATATGAAATGATATTTTTGAATAAAATTTATTTAGTTATTATGCTGTTGTCTGCGGCAAGTGTAAATTACTTTTGATAAATTCTTTAAAAATTGGTAATAAATTTTGTGTATCAAATTGTCTATTCAAGTTATGGATATTTCTACTTATGTGTATCATTTCTGACACCTCACGCCTACTCCTTACATTTTCAACATCTAAAATCTGTACATTACTATATTCAAAATCTATATTGTGTCCTGAATCTTTTCACATGGTAATACAATGCAGATCTGTCATCTTTTTTCTTAACATCTCTCATGTGTTCACCAACTCGTGTTTGCAGAGTTCTACTTGATTGACCTATATAATACCGATGACAATCTAGACAATTAATTTTATACACTATATTTGGTTTGTAACGCGGTTCTATTTTGTCTTTACCTAATTGATTATTTATGTTAATTTTATTAATGTTTTTAATAATGACGTTAATATTGTACTTTTTTGAAATCTTCTTTATCTCATATTCATAGTCTTTTGAAAACGGTAAGACAATATAGTCATTGTATGGGGTTATACTATGATTTTTATAACTATCTTTTTTATTTAATATGTTTAGTCTTTTTTTAATGTATGTATCAATAAATTTTAATGGATTGTTTTTGGCTTTTAATAATTTTTTAATTATCTCAAAATTTTCTTTATGGAACTTATTATTAGACAGTTTTATATTTTTATCTACTAAATTATAAACTATTCCATTTTTTTGTTGTAAGGGGTTGTGTGATTAAAAATTAAGATATTGTCCTGAATGACTTGGTTTTCTATACCAGTCAGTTATGATTTTGTCAGAATTTAAGTAAATAGTAATGTCTAAAAAGTTTATTATTCTAAGTGTTGGATTTTCCAAAGTAAATTGTATATATGGATCAAAACTGTTGAACGTTTGTAGTATTGTATCTATATTATCCTCTAGAGAACATTAAAGTAAGTCGTCTAGATATTTTACGTAAAATTGTAGTTTGAAGGGTAATTTATTTAAACAATACTGTTCCAAGTCATTCATTACCAATTCAGAAAGTATGGGGCTAATAGGATTACCCATTGCACAGCCAAACTTTTGTTTAAAACATGATCTATTGAAAACGAAATAATTATTTTGTAAAATAAATTTTATAATATCTATAAATTCTGTACATGATAAATTTATATGTATGCCTTAATGTTGCCATCTCTTAGTTAGGGCTGAAACTATTAGGGGGATATGTATATTATTAAAGAGGGCTGTAACATCTAAACTAAAAAATTTGTAATTTGATGGGATTTTTTGGTTAATTGAAAACTATTGTTTATACTGTATTGTGATTTGGGGCTATATTTATATAAAAAGTTGGCTAAAACTTTTGACAAAGTATAAGTAGGAGTGCCTACGGAAAATTAGAAGTAATGCGTTTAAAATTATCCCAACAATATTTAAGATAGGGAAAGTTTTGTAGTATTTTAATCCGTTCACAGCTTAACAATTATTTTGTGATGAACTGCACGACAATGGTACTAATAAATTCGGTTTTAGTGATCTTACAAACAGTTAATGACGATCTAAGCAGAAGTATAATAGTGCGAAAAAAAACATGCATGTATATCAATTGTGGGGTTAGTTTTTGGATGATTCAACCCCTGTGTATCCTTGCAGTGGTGTTATCGCACTTTTCGTTACAAAGAATAGGTCAATTAGTTAGTAGAAGTAATATATTGCAAACTTTAAGAAACATACTTCACTTGACCTTAAAAACACGTAAATGAACTTTTTTAGAGGTTGTTTTGTTAAATTTTTCACCCTTTACACCATAATATCACCCAATCATGTATTATTATACCGAATTTGTCGTTTTTTCCTTCTCAGTAAAGTCTATAATAATTTTTACAAATTCGAAAAAATATTATTTATTTGACACAAATATCACGAAAAATGGCAATTTTGGGGTAAGTTTTAAAATTTTTCAACCCTTGTAACGCTAAGCGGTACTTTTTCCAGCACTAGCTCACAGCATAACTGGTAAATTCATTAAATATAAAATAAATTATAGACCAAATTACAAAATAATTATTAATTTATTTTTGACAGTACGAAAATTCAAATTTTAGGGGTAGTTTTTTACTATTTCAACCCCCATGAGACATATAATAACCCATTTCAATGTAATTTGTTAAAATCCATTAAAATTTGTAAAATCTTGCTATCTAATGTAAAAATTATATTTATTTAATTATTGTTAAGTCTCAATTAGATAAGTTGGACGAAACTATGTGTCATTTCTACCTTTTTTCAATTTTTAAGGGTAATTTCAACCCCTTCCACACCTTTTTTTGGATCGGGACAATTTTTCTGGTATTCCTTGTGCATCCACTTTAAATTTCCAAAAAAACAATCGTGTTGATCGGTCCACAGCAGCTGGCGCTATTTTATTTATGTACAAAAAAGTCCGTTTCGCCGCACTGTGCCCCCTTCGTAGAATGTAAGTGTATATGTTATTATATTGATCTTCAGGGGCACATGGCTTTCGAAATAAAAAGACTTGTTTTTATACGATATTTCGTCGACTGGTGTGTCGACCTCTTCAGGCTTTTATTAACAATGAAAAACTTCAATTACAATGACTGATATGTAAGCGGTACATTTTTTTAAATTCAAATGACAGTATATTACCTTACAGTTAAACCCTGAAGAAATTTAATGCACGCATCGAGTACGACTCTGACGCAAGTCAAATTGGCAAAGGCTTTTGAAGCTTCCATGTCAGTCATTGTCATTAAAGTTTTTTTATTGTTGATGAACGCCTGAAGGAAATAACAGACCAGTTGACGAAACGTCGTATGAAAACAAGTCTTTTTATTTCGAAAGCCATTTGCCTCATAAGTTTAATGTAATATTATACACACCTAATCGTATTATTTTTTTTAGCCAAAATTAATCAAGACTTTTGAATAGGACGATTTATTTCTAAAAAATTGTACTGTAAATTTTGAGTAATTAAAATTATCCATGTGTCTTAGTCAAGCTTTTTTTAGCAGGTTTGTACATAACAACTAGTTTTCTTTTAGAATAAGGAATTAAAAGGATCCCTAAAAATTTATTTAAAAAAAGTTATAGGATTTAAAGAAAGCGTCTATTTTATGTTAAGGATTCATTATTTTTTGAAACTTGCACTTTTGGATGCATTGATTATGTCAACTAAATTTAAAAATTTAGTAAATTTTTAATTTTCAGAAAAAACAAGCACAGGTCCCACTCTCGATCTCGCTCCAGAGATCGCCGAGACAAGGATCGTCGAGAACGTGATAAGGATCGGGAACGAGACAGGGACCGCGATCGAGATAAAGATCGTGACCGTAGGCGTCAATCAAGATCTAGAGAAAAGCGTGATCGGGATAAAGATGGAGATAAAGAACGAGAAAAGCGTGATCGTGATCGAGATAAGAAAAGAAGAAGATCTCTCACGCCGATAACTCTTTCAAGGGCTAGGCCTTTCAGCAAAGGAGTTAGTCCTCTGAATGTGTAAGATGATATATTACTAACATATGATATATTTTATTCGTGCCAAAACATGCTACGCAACAGTGATTTTTTAATGAGAATATGGCATTGCATAAACATGCCGACTAAAAATGTTTATCCATTCTTTTATAATTTCTAGTAATCCTAAAAAAAACCTGTATTTTTGTTGTGGTGAACAATCATTTTTTTTAATGATATCCGATAAACTGTTTTATACATTTAGAAGTCGCATATGCTTCTCTCCATTTAACATATTACGCAAAGATATTTTCGTGTGTGTTAATATATATATATATANTATATATATATAAAATAAGTTTATTTTTGTGGGACTCAAAATTACTTTTTTATATCCCTTGCAGCGTCCTCATACATTTTTTTACATGCTCTTTCACAGATTTCCACCATAAGTATGCAAATTTTGTGTTAGAAGTGGTTGGAACTACAGCTCACAGCTCTTCCATTCTTAATTTCTCCGCACTTTACCCCAGACCTTATTCATACTTAAATATAACTTACCCTGGATATGTAAGGAGAGAAAATATAAAGCCTCAAATTTCTTACTACTGCACCATATGTTCTTGACTACTTAAGGTTCACAAATATAACTTCTTATGTAATATGTTTCAACTCCTGATTATAATAAGTGGATATGTTTTCTGCGATTCGATGTAAACTGAATGGTAATGATAATATTTGTTATCAGATTTAAATGTGAAATAAACTTTTAAGTACTGAAACCAAAAACAAGAGTTTCTTAAACTTTCAGTACGACATGGTAGTAAACAAATGCAAAAAAAAACAATTTAAACGAGTATCATTATGTAATAAACGCTTGACAGAAGATATTTTAAGTCCCTTTTTTCTTATTAATTGTTTTTATCAACAGCTGATAAACCTCTTTTTAGAATGTAGGTACCTACATTATGTTGTTGAAAAGCCTTCTTTTTTTACTGTTTTATGAAGGAGAAAACTGCATTATTTAATTCATTTATTTCACATCTGACTAAAATATGCATCATCCAGAATTTTGTTTGCCGTAGCTTATTATATAAATCATGACTTCTTTATCTAGATTGTTTATAAACCATAAATTTTCAATATTTTTCAAGCCTCTTATTGAAAACTTCAAATCCCGATATATCCTTCATTCACAAATTTTTAATCTCCATCAAACTTTCAGTTAAACTTACGTTACGTCAGCAATTGGATGCACATGTAGATAATTTCAGGTACAAGCTTAGTAAAACAAAAATAAAATCTATTACAGGCAGAAAATAAAAGCAAGAGAAAGTTAAGCAACTAAAACGACAAGAAAAATGATTAATAATGAAAACCACACAACGCATGTTGAATACAGAAAAAATTACAGATTTAACGTCAAAGTAAGGTTTGAAGTAATATAGCTAAGCTAGAAAAAATAAAAAAGGGACTTAAGATAAAAAGAAGGTAAGAGTCAAGCTATTCGCACAGCTAGCTCTCCATTATCAAGAATAATAATAAAGAATAGCTGGAAGTTTCGCCACTAGCCCTTTTTAGGGCCATTATAAGTATTTACGTTCTCTTCTTAACCATTAATCTCATTGGTTCTTTTAAGGGTCACTTAAGGTCAAACTTCCTTGTTAACATATATATTTTTACTACCATTTTCGGCAAAGATTCTTTAACTAAGACTAAATAAAGCCGGCCATTATTAAAAAATTTAGTCATTCGCTGGCAGATGTCACAAATGGAGTTGGTCGTCATGCGGCTGTGAACCTTGGCAACCGAGGACCCTACTATTACCTTCTTAACTACTCAACTATGAATCACCGATCTTCTCCGAGGTCTGCGCTGGGTGAACTTAATAGCTAGACGAACCAATTCCCCCACCTTAAATTGGTAAATATCTCTACAACTAGCTCTAACGATTCAAACGTTGTAGTTTTCTTCACGATCAGTCTGGTGCTACAACAGCAGGCCAGAGAAGATTACCCTGAAAAATCCAGGCAGTCACGTTTGCTGGAAACTTAAGTCAAGAAAGAGTTAACTTGAGAAGCTCACTGGTCCTTTTAAGGCCCATCAGACGTCAAACTATTTTGCCAAGAAACATATTAAAACTCAACAATGTTGACATAAAACAGCCTTTAGGGCTCACAAAAGTTGTAACCATGCTAATAGTCATACAATATCGTATACAATTCCAGGGGTCAAAAAACTGACGGCAGAGCATTCATTGAGGCTGAAGCAGCAGCATCAAAATTATTAGGGTCAACGATTATTTTATGGCATAAGCAACGCACGGTACTTTCCAGCATAATTATATTTTTTCACTTCTTACGGCTTATTATTTGACTAAATAAGCTGTATCGGTTTCGAACAAAAATTTTTTTTTTTCGCGTACCTCCGCTGAAAGTGCTTCATATCTGCCTTGCTCCAAAACAGATACTTTCGGCGAGGGTATGCAAAAATAGTAAATTACGCACGTACTGAGCAAAGTTAAGAAATGCTCTAGATTTCACGTTATCACCCTTGGCTTCGCCTTGGGCGCTTATTCACGTGAAATTTGCGACATTCTTAACCTTCCTTAGTAGGTGCGTAATATATTATAACAAAAAGAATTTTATTTTTAGAAATGTCGGGAAATAATGTAAAATTTTTAACTGCAAACGTTTCACATTGCATGTCCACACTACGGTGTTGCATTTAGTGAGTCTCGGGCGAAGGTAAGACGAGGGCGCCGTTAGTTCTTGCATAAAGCTATCTACTACAATCGAGAAAAAAGAACTTGCGTGAATCTACAGAATGCAGGTTAGCAATACTTTGAATGAGATATTCCGTAAGCTTCACCTCAAAATAATGAAAGTGCACAACGAGCGTCTGATTATATTCAGTGTTAAAATAGTTGCAATTTCGAGGAAATCACTTTTACCGTGCTGTCTAAGCAAGTTAAAAAATTTGAAAAACAGAGTCATGTATCTATTAACGTATATTTTTTGGAAAAAAAAAATAGTTATAAAACTTAACCATTTTATTAAGCATTTAAAAAAAGGAAAAATATATTAATTGCATAAGACGTCTAATGACAGTTAGTAAATAATTTAAATTAACGTCCAATGGTAGTACTGTCATATTTTTGTACTAATTAAAAAATAAAAACTACACTCCGGCCGTACAGACAACGTACCTGGCTCTCATCAAGTACAAAAAGCTTTAAGTGATGAAACACATTTCTTACAATACAAGTTTTGATAATATACAATAAACGCAAATTAAGGTGATTATATAGTATACCTCTGACTCTCACGAACGAGATATAAAATCGTAATGTAGTCAAAGTTTAATGTTTGGCTGCTTTTATACTCTGCACATACACAAATGACATAAGTACACGTACACAATACAATCAAAGTAGAATCGCAAGCAGTTCCTTGCCAGAATCATACAAATGGTACATGTGTTCCTAATACTGTAAATATTTTTATTTTTACTTTTAATAACAATTTTTTTATTTTAGTTTTAATTGCTAGTAAAAGAATGATGAAACAAAGGACGACAGATTTTTAAAGTTAAAGAAATAGACAAAAAGATACAAAAAGAGCAAAAAAAATTTTCAAAATCAGTAAGTTAGCTGGGGGATAATTGATTAACATAGTTGTCTTGGAGCATGGAAACAACAGAATGAAACTAGAAAACACAAAGGATCAATTGATAGAAAATTTAACTGAATGAAAAAATGCAGGACATCAAAGCAGTCGTAAAAAAAAGCAGAGCTGATATCATTGTCATTGCAAAGCTGAAATAAGAGGACAAAAAAAGACAATAAGTAAGAGAAAGATGTTTAATAGAAAAGTATTCACAGAAATTCATTACTTCATTGAAAAAAAAAAGGTAAGTATGTAGTCTACAAAATATGCGTAAAAAGTAAAATATTGCCAGATTCAACATAAAAAGGTCTTTATAGACGGTTGTTGCTGCAAATGGGACAATTGGCATACAAATTTTACCTTACTAAAGTCACAATATGAATCATAAAAGTGTTTATGTTTTTTAATAATAAACTAGCCTTAAAGAGGGCCTAATATTGGCTCCAGCAAGTTTATTTGAATAAGTCACAGATTCTATAATTTTGTGCTTTACTGCATCAAGGCAGTGAAAGATAAAATGAAGGCAATAAGCTACGATTCGTAAAGCATTTCTTAGCTATAAAAGCAAAGTAACAAGGTTAAGTAGAAGGATTCAGGCTTACTTACCATGTTTAAACTAATGACAGTATGAGCAAATTATTCATGTAACCTTACCTTAAATTCAACACACTCTTGTTGTAACTCATATTAAATCTAAAAATCATTATACCATAGGTTCTTAATCAACCATCGACGTGGGAAAACCCTTCCAGAAGCTATATCCGCAGGATTTTGTTTGGATGTAATATAATGCCATTTAGCGTATGGAGTAAGCTCATGTATGTTAGAACACTTATTGGCCATAGAAAGAGGCCATTTAAATGAAAGTGAACATCTCATCTTTTACAAATGTAACTTCAATAAACTGCTTTACAATCGGGAATAAAAGTTCAACTGTACAGAAATCTAACCTTCAAATACTTTCAATCTAAGTGGAGCTACCTTAGTCTTAGCTTGTTAAAATGAAACACTTATTTTTTTCTATGGACTAAGCGATACTATAATACAGTAGCATAACAATATAAGCATTTTTAGATACATCCACAAGCTTACTAATTTCAATAGAATCACAGTCAGCAGGACATAAATTCTACATAGAAATTCGTATTTGTTCCAAGTTCTTTTGCTAACTAAAGTGACCATGTCTCAACTACGCTGGCAGGTCATCTCACGATGGTTGCAGTAAATAAAAAAAAATAAAAAAAAGTATTTCACTAAAAATGAGAGCAGAAGCAACCCACTTAAAGATTGTGGCTTGTCCAATTTATTGGTGGATCTCTTGAAGCTAATTAATACTAGATTTCATCAGAGTAAAGATTTCACTGCAAACTCAAA